AGGAGGGCGGGGGCAGGGGGGGCATGTGCCCCTGGATCTGCACAGCATGGGGTGGGCTGCAGCTACAGGGTGGAGCCAGAGCTGGGACTGCATGCGTCTTCTCGCTGAGGGCTGTGCTCGGACTGGGCTCTGGCGGCACTGGGAAGAGGTTGCAGCTACCCCAAATTTCACTGGAGCTCTGCTCCCAGCCCCGCACCACTGCCTAGCACAGCCGCGGCTCTTCCCAGTGCTTGGGTGGAGCAGGGCTGGGAGTGGAGCTGTGGCAAATTTTGGGGTGGCTTCAGCCTCCTCCTAGCACCACCAGACCCCGCTCTTAGCCCAGCCCCTGGTAAGAAAAGCGCACGCTTTTGGCACCACCCTGCAGCTGCAGCCTGACCCATTCCAGGCAGATCTGGGGGCACATGCCCCTCACCCTCCCGGGGTGCAAGCAGCAGTGGGAGATGCCCCCACCCCATGAACCGTGCCTCCCTCCCATGCCCCCTGCCTAGGCAGCACCTGTCCCTGCCCCCTCCCTCACTGTAGGGGGCACTGATCTGTCCCCCCCATGGCCCTTCCCTCCCCACTCCCCTTCCACCACACTGGGCTTACCATGTGATGGCAGCTGTATTGGATATCGAATCGGTATTGGCTGATATGCCTCCTTAAATATGGGCTATCGGTATTGGCCCCTAAAATCTCTATCAGTGCACCCCTAATCTTTCCCCTCCCTTCCCCTCTGTTTTCAGCAACACATCCTCTCCTCTCCAGCCCCCCTCTCCCGCCTGCCACTGCTCCTGGCTACACCTGTGGCAGGAGAGGAGAGAGGCTCCCGTCCTGGGCTGAGGAGAGAACTGGAATCAGCTGAGGACAGCAACATGGATTCCCTTTCATAAGCGCCTGGTCCCATGTTGGCAGGGAACACCAGGGGGGACTGAGCAGGGAGGAAGAACCCACCATGTGCTGCTAGCCCTGGCTGGAGATGGGCAGGATCAGCTATATAGCTTCTCTGCTGACACCAGATCAGCATAGACAGCAACAGCAGCAGCCATGGGAGAAGGAGATGTGAGGGAACAGGACATGCCATGGAGAGGAAAATGGGAAGGATTGGGGATTCTTACTTCCTTCAGGGACTTGAAAAAAAGTCTCCAACTTCTGTTCCTGTGGTGTTGACTGAAAAGGTGTGGGGGTGCATGCATGCCACTGAGTCCCCTCTGAATCTGCCCCTGTAGACTGCTACTGAAGAGTAGATTAGTTAGTGCAGTTTACCTTACAAGAACTGATTTATGTACCCATGCCCTCAACCTCTCTAGCTCAAACTATTCCAGTTTGTATAAATAATTAGATATCAATTGGGCTGCAGGCCAATGCATATTGATTCTATATCCCAGTGGTTAGGGGCATCCTCATGGGAAATCAGGATTCATTTATTCTACATTCAAATCAGATGAAACAGGGATTTGAAACTACATCTCAAATATTCATAAACACTGGTTTCTTAGCTATTCTGGGTGGGTTTCTCATAATTAATGTCTTGTTTCCATTCTACCTCAGACTGAAAACTAATTTCAAAACCTTGACATTTTTCACGAAATAAAATTCTTTTTTCCTGACCATCTTTATCAGTGCTGGCACCCTTACTCATATCAACACTGGTAGATATCTAGTGCTCTATGAAAAGGTGGCAGAATTAGACCATAGAGTAAAAAAAAACTTAATTACGTGATATACTATAGAAGAGTGTAAATAACATGTAAAATCAGAGTTTGATGTGCTAACAAATTATTTTTCATATCGGAAACATATTCTTAGTCAGACATATTCAAGTTCAAATTATAGGTCACAGTTAAATAATTATGGGAAAGCTTTCAAACATGCCTATCTGAACACCATAAACCTTATTCCTCTCCCTTTGTGTATACTGGATAAAATATTACTGGACAAAAGTTTAATTTACTCGGCTGAAAAAACACATTGGCAAAGGTTTAGTTAAAAGTTTTCAAATAAATGTTTATTTCCTGTGTTTAACTATATCTAACAACATTCTTCCCCTGCAACTTTTATAAGCTCTCTCATAAAACTTAGATCTTGCAGTTGAATAACTTAGAGATAAAATAAGAGTTTTAGCATAAAATAACAAGATGGAATCCTTTTTAAATAAACTTTTGCAGCTACGCTATTTAATCATGTCCTGAACTGTAGTACGTGAGTTATACACAGTACTAAAAAACTGAGTTTTGTTCAAAGTCCAAATGGTGGCCACACTATGCTAATCAGTACAGTTTCTCTTGACTAATCAAAATACTTATTCCTCTTGACTAATCAAAATACTTATTTCTGAGACCTTATTTATAACCTGATACCTTGCAAAAGGATCAGTAATTCTTTATGCAAAACTGTCCAAAACAAGAATCAGTTTATTTAAATGTGTTCCCTTGATGCTACTTCTCTTCCTTGCATCAAAATAACTGCAATAATTAATTCTGAGTCTCTAACAGTGACAGTGAAGTACTGGTGGAGAATTACATTTAATTTGAACAGCTTCTGACACTAATTGCACTCCTTTGTCTGTGCAGAATCACACCATTTAACTGACAGCGTCTGTTACTGCAGAGACGGTTCTAAAAAAGGTTTCGGTGGATCTTGATTCTGGACCTTGATCCTGAAGTATTTCAGTTATTTTCACTGGCCACATGCAGACATTCAGTTTCTCCTGGGAGAGTTGCTGCTGTCTCAGGAGAAACTACCAATGTTCAGGATTTTTCTGCCAGAGCAAAAAATGACCACTGCAGGAGAAAAATAAACTGGGAACAACCAGGATTAAATCACTCCTGGGAGAGTTTCTGCTGGGAGAGCAAAAGTCCATACAAATTACCTCTCTGAGAGAAACTACAACACAATCCTCCAGCATCCCAGGGTACTTTGCTTTCCTCTCCCTGCCCCGCTGGGCGATAGTGTATTGACTCTACTATTCCAGCCCGGCAGGGAGCAGAACACCCCCTCTTCACAATTCTATATTATGTTTCAGGAAGACAGGCTGACTCTGAGCAGTCTGATTCAGCCAATAAAGGCTTCCTGTGCACCACTGCCATCCGTTGCCAGGCAGAGTGAGAGAGCCTGAGGTATGTGCACAGGGGGCCCTGGCTGCACAGCATCAACACTGCAACCTCTCTGCTCTTCAAGGGATGAGCATTCAAATGTTCATTTTAGAAAATGGATCTCTTTTTAGTAATCGGATTATCCTAACTCACAAGATACCAAACATGCTCCCATTAGAGATAGACAGAAGAAAACACTGCAAAACATATGTAACAAATACACCTTATTCAGTAATGAAGATAAAGAACAATGTGAAAACTTGAAGCATCTTGTGGGATTAGGCTCAAAATACCCTTCAGAAAAGAATTGTTTGGCAATATGACAGGATAGTGCTTAATATAAAAGCTATGTTCTCTCCAGCTATGTTGCTGTAAACAGCAAACAAGAGAGACACTGCCAACAAAAAAAACCCCTCTCATATTTAGCTCATCTTATTTTATAAATAACACCAATTATTTTATTTTAAACAATTTTATACTAATTTACTTTTGCCTATACTTTGTGCTACTGGTATTTATTTCCTTATTTTATATATCACACACAGCCTGGGTAAGAAAAATAGACTCTCTTTTGTTCCTAGTCAATTTTACTTTCTGGCCCTCCTGCACTAGCAAAATATTGTCTGAATTAACCACCCTGAAAAGATGTATTTAAATTTTAAAGCTTGATCTCACCAATATAAGCATACATATATTCATCTCAGATTTTATTACTCCCTTTACCACTGTTTTGTTAAAAAGTTCATTTAAGACTAAAAGTTAGTTGACAGTGCCCCCTTAGAAATGCAGAATTGCATTATAATTTTTCAAAGGTACAATACTATAGTAGGTAGAACCAATAAATAAGACTTCTAACTTGTGATTCTACAGAGAGAAAAAAAAATAAATGGCTCACCTTTATATATAAAGGCTCCCTAAGATGATCAACAAGAATGCAAGTTTTTTCCTCCCACACAGGATTGAGGTTCTTGTGTATTGTTTTACTTCTAAACACTTCTTTTCTTCCAATTTTAAACTTGACATATGGATCGCTGGTCCCTGTTAAAGAGAGACACATTGATCCAAATTAAATGTGTCCCTTTTGTGTGCACAGGAAATTCGATTACCCTAAAAAGAATACAATATCACTGATGATATGAATTTTTACCTAAAAGTAAACAGAACTGATAGAGAAAAAAATAAAATTATAAAATTATCATCTTTGTTTAGTCACTTTAAACTTTTATTTTACACAGTGCAATTACTTAAAACAGGAATACTGCCTTTCTTTAACAAATCCATAGCACCAATATCCTTAAGTGCATGCCTATGTGGCCTCCCTGGTGTTTGAAATCCAAAGTTAAGGTCCAGCAGCAAAATCCTGAATCCTGAGTTTACTGGGAGCTTTGCCACTTGCCCTTGATTCATTCATCTAGTATTCATTCATTTTCAATTAACTATGTACTTAAATAGCATTATGCTTTATGTGTATGTTATTGTTCTTTTAACCTTCCTATCTTAATCTTACCGCCTGAATCAAAGTGCATTCCCCCATGAAAGTTTATACCAGTATTTTTTACATTAAAAAATATCCAGTTCAACTTCCTGCTTGGAAGAAAATATTCATAAACTTCTAAACCAGTAAACATTATGATAGCCTTTATGCAATAACTGAAAGCAATTTGATTGGGACAATTAAGGGTGAAATACTGGCCCAGTAAAATAAGAGGGCAGAGCTCCTATTGACTTCATTATGCCAATATTTTAATTTTTACTGTGGAGTATTTTTCTTTCAGTACTATGAATAAGTAGATCTGGCACTTACAGCCCCACTTCCTGCCTCCAACTACTCTCACAAAATAATAACAACCCATACTCAGGGGTTGATTCAGAGAGTTGTGGTCCCCACCTTTTAAACCATGCTGAGCACCTGGGGACTTTATGTCTCCAAAGTAGGTAGGAATCCCTACTTCTCAGCATCCTTTTCCTTCACCTCTGTGCCTAATAGTACCTTTTCATCCCTCCCAATTCCTCCCCTGCCCCACCTGCCACTGCCGCATCCCCCAGCTGACCTGGAGACAGGGGGTCCGAAGCTACTCCAGCAAGGTTGCACAGGGAGCCAGGCTCAGATGGGAACAGTAGCAGTAGCCACAGTGGGCAGGTTCCCCCTCTTTCCCCATTTACCAGCCTCAGAACAGATGCAGGGAGGGGGACTGGAGTGCGGTAGGAGAGGCCAGGACAGCAGTGGAGGTGGGCAGGTCACCATGTGCCCAGAGGCATAAGTACAAAGGATTGGGAGGGGAGGGGAGAGGAGTGGGGAGGGGAATGGAAAGGAAGGAGAGAGAAGGTGCTGCTGAGTATGCAGGAGAAGGGAAGGGGTGTCAAGTGCAGGGGAAGGGGAGGATTCTTACCTGATTTGGGGACTTAAAAAAAAAAAAGTCCCCAGTTGCTGCTCCTGTGAAATGGTCTGCCCCCAGTGGGTGGGGAGGTTGGGAGTGGGGTCATGCCACCACCTCAGCAATGCCCATATGCCTATATTTAAAATCTTGGATCCACTTCTACCCATATTCCTACACAGACACATACCCATACTTGCTGGGTTAGGATCAGTACATCAGCGCATCTCTCCCTTTCCCTAGAAATATCCAAATTCCTACAAGTATAATTTATGCTACATGCACATCATTCTCACAAGATATATACATGCTCCTATAGCACTGGGCTCAGGCATTCTTAGAAAGGGACCTAATTAGAAAATTACCAGCAGTTTGGGATGGCATGCTTATGTTGTGCATAGTTTTATATTTTTAAAATGTTGCTAAGGTTACTTTTGCTGGGGAGAAAATCCACATGAAGGTAACAAGAGACATGGGCACGCATACATGGTTACAAAGTCAATCTAGTTTTGTCTATATAACAGTGTCAGGATGAGGCTGAGGTGCCTGAGCTAACTAAACAGAACAGTCTTGACCAATATCAACAAGGTCGAATAGTTATAAACTCCTGCAAGACTTTTTAAGGCTGGACATAAGGAAGAATTTCTTCACTGTCCGAGCCCCCAAGCGCTGGAATAGCCTGCCACCGGAGGTGGTTCAAGCACTTACATTGAACGCCTTCAAGAGAAATTTGGATGCTTATCTTGCTGGGATCCTATGACCCCAGCTGACTTCCTGCCCCTGGGGCAGAGGGATGGACTCGATGATCTTCCGAGGTCCCTTCCAGCCCTAATGTCTATGAAATCTATGAAATATGGTTTGGTCAGACCTCCTTCTATGAGCAATTAGGTTTTTTTACTGGATTAGTTGTAAGGACTATTTGTTGATAGCATTGACTACACTGACCAATTAACTGTCATATAAGAAATGTTGTACTGTCTGCTTCTCAAACTGATGTTGACTAAGTCCCCTCCCTTGCAAAGGAAGGACTCAAAATAGCATGAGCACTACCAATACTTTATTCTAACAAAGTACTGCCAGTGTGGACACAGCTAAACTAGCCAAGTTGTACTTTGTATCAGTATATAATAAAAATACTCCCCATGAACAAAACAACTACATTGGTCAAAGTGTAGTTTTGCTAGTATAGCTGCATTTACACTTAGAACTTACTGCTGGCACAGCCATGCCAGTCGCACCTCTTCAAAATCCAGATTAACATAGGGATGCAAACATAAATCTGTTATATAGACAAAGACTAAATCATTCTGGGTGCTAGCTCTTTTCTGGTATCTTTTACACAGTATCACCGAGAGACTTCAAAGGCTATTTTAGGAAACTATCGTGGACGCCAGTTGTCAAAGGTGATATCTCATTAATATATACATTCTGAATAGTGGCAATTGCACTGTGCTAAATTCCTGTTTTAATCGTACTATGAAGTAGCGTTTAAATGTAGAGTTCACAAAGCAAACATTGTTTTTCCTATATATATGCTAATTAAAAAATTATTACAACTATTTTGAAACGTGAAGACTGGAAAGTGTGTGTTAAATGCCAAAAAGTACTAAATAGCATTTTGTTTTCACTTGCTCTTTAAAAGTTAAATTAATTTTAATGACTGACTGCAAGAACTGCAAGTAGCTTTCTCATTTTTCTATCAGTCAACTGTACGCAACAGTGAACTTGTGTTCATCTCTTTTTGATCTAAGCTCATTGTAAAATAAATGTTTCTATCTGTCAGAAATAACAGCTAAATTGGTATGCAGAACATTTCTGATTTGATTTCTATTGTAGTCATGATTTTTATCCTGCAAAGTTAGTTATTAAATTATTTTGTAAAACAATATATGAAGTCCCTTGTGAGGTCCCTTCCAGCCCTTTTTTCCTATGATTTCTTGGACACTTGGCCAGCATGGCTTATTTGGGGATGCTCCTGCTTTGAACAGGGGGTTAGACTAGGTGACTTTGGGGTCCCATCCAGCCCTACTTTCCTATGATTTCTGTATCAATAAGATGTGAAGACTGTATCACCTAAGCTTTTTACAGTCTTCTGTTTAGCCACAAGATGGCACTATTATTTACCTAAACATACGTTCCTTTGTAAACCTGTATGATACATTCAACCTCAAATTTTAGTCAGGTTTCAGGTCTAAATTCATTTTTTATGATAGGATCATAGTTGTATTAGCAACACAAAGTTTGCAATAAAAAATATCTGGTCACCTCATTTCTTCATTCTTTCTACACAGTGAAAGTTATCAGGGCAGGCATCATTTTTTAATTTGTTCAATATGGTCACAGAGCAATCTGGGTGTAACTAGTAATAATAACATAGTAATATTAGCTAAAAAGAGTTTAATTTTGTGTCCTAAATAAATCCTGATTTCCTTACTCTTTAGTGTGCTCTGTACAAGTTGTATATCTAACTGTTGTCTTTCACCATAGAAAAACCTGAATTTCAGTAATACTCCATGCATAAAGTTATCAAGAAAGTTTTGGAAAGAAGCAGCTTGATCAAGAAAGAAGTATTCTGTTATAGAAATACATTTTTCAGTGTGTGGAAATGCAAGGGTCATTTCCTGGATGCGTAATTTCCTCCCAATACAAAGCTGAAATTTATGCATTAATATGGGGCCAAAAATTAATCTCTTTTAGAGCAATGCTTCCAATAGAAGCAAACTTCAACCAGAATTTGGTCCAATAAACTACAAGCATAAGGGTTTAAAAGCTATTTCAAAATTTGATTTAGAGTGTTGTTAGTTAAAAGTAATGAAGTTGTGTTTTTCAAGTATCAGTATTAATGAGCTCCTTTCAGTAACAGATCTTTCTCCATTTGTGAATTCCACAAACAGAAAGATCAACATGTAGTTATAACGAAGAAACTAATGTTGAAAACAGACTGACCAAGCACAAAATCCTTTGTTGGACTGATAATGTCTGATGTGTGTTCAAAAGAACCTCATGGATCCTTATTCCAACATTATACTGTTAAGCATTAACATTACTAGCCAATCCTACACCAGCAGTTCCCAATGATTTGATACCATAGGACCTGATGTTGCAAACGCTTGTGCACATGTACAACTATTTATAGATTTGACTAATTCCATTTGGTTAAGTGTATGTGAGATCATTATTCAGTATTAAGGGTTGTTTTTTTTTAAAAGAGAAATAAAAATTAACTCCAGACGTTCCCAACTTTATAAGTAATTACCCAAACAGAAAAATTCAAGAGTTCTACAGAATAACTTTAAATTATATGATCTGCTATCATGCTTTTTTTGCTATTGAAGAAAATATGAGATTTTTCATTTGTTTCCTGTTTTTTTAACCCTAACTGTAGGATAAAGGGTAACTGATTATGAATTTTCTCCATTTTTCCACAGCTGTTTAACTGTGTCACTTCTGAGAACATTCATTCCAACTTTCACTTGTGGGTTTGAGCATACAGTACTTGTTTTTTTTTTCAAATCATCTTGCTGATATTCTGCTGAGCAATGCAACTGCATTTCTAAAGGCAGTAACGATTCTTTGCACAAGGTGGCAGCCTCTCTTTTCCAAAAAACCATCATTTTAGTTGAAGAAAATGTAAAACACAGTATATATTAAGAGGAACAAAAA